ACAGTACATGTAATTAAGAATACATACACTAAGAAAAAGATACTTAAAAACTTATTTGTGAGATATATATTTATTTTATTGAAATAAATTTTTATTTAAATACGGTAAAATAAAATTTTATTTCTAGCAAATAAATCATCTATTTCATTTTTTTTTTACAATTAATGAAACATATTTCACAGAAATGCATATTTCGTCATCATATAGTTAAATTTTTTCATAATCAATAAATATCAAAGGAAGCATGGCATATAATTTACTTGCAAATATTTCGATCTTTTTTAGTAGATAATTGAAAGTATAACATGGAAAGAAACTAAAATGATGAATATTCACTGACCAATTAAAATGTTCCAATTAAGAACTTAAAAAATAATCTGCTGAAAAGTTGCTAATTTTGATATATCACTTTTCCATCAATGCGGCGATATAATATATTTTATTATAATACATTATAATAATAATTATTATTATTACTTTACTAAATAATTACTATTACTATATCATATTACATATATTATAATTACTATTATAATTGTATCATTTCTAATATCATTATGGCAATATCGATAAAAATTCTTATGAATTTGATTAGAATATTAGAATATACATATAATAGAAAAAAAATATAATGTGTAGAAAATTATATTATATAGAATTGGACATAAATCGTACCAAAATTATTGGAGCATTAGGACAGTATTTTCGTACTTCATTGATCCATCTGGAAGCCACACTGTGATAAGACGAGGGACATACAACACTGAAGCAAACTAGGAACACATCTGTCTCGGGATAGCACAACGATCTCAGAGGGTCAAAGTCATCCTGGCCTGCTGTATCACATAATTGGACATTCAATGGTTGTCCATCGACATTTACGACCACTGGATAGATATTACAAAGATATTAGTATTATTGAATTGATATTTCCTTATCTATTAATGATACATACAGTCTTATCTATTTACTCAGAATAAAATGTTAAATGGTATAATTAAAATTTTAAATTAAGAGATCAACTAGGATAAAAGTAAAGGTGCATAATGTAAATATCTTATAATATTTATCATGCTCAAATTACTCTTTAAAAATTACACTTTATACAAGATACATATGTTGATTCAAGATATGTACAAAGCATACCCACAAATCACAATCCCAAAGGCTACAGTCGTATCATTAGCAAATAAATGCAAAAAGTATACACACCGTTGTAATTGTCAAATGCAGTTGGCACGTATTCCCCAGGAAAACCGTTGGTGGAGTACGAGACCACCAAACTGGTCTTACCGACCGCACCGTCGCCCACTAGGACTACTTTGATTCTCTTGTCAAGTGGTGTCGCAGGATGCTCCGCTATGTTTTGATTCTGTGCTCCAGTGCTAATAGCCATCGAGGACGTCGTCGTCGCCATTGTTACCGTCGTCGGCTGTTGCCTAGCAGCCTGCATCTGCATTGTCTGTCCGCTCTTGAGCAACGGCCTCGTCCAGTTGGTGTGCGAGGACGGCGGCATTGTCTCGCTCTTGATCTTGCCGCAGCTCCGATCTTTCATGCGTCTGTCAAGACGCGTACCGTCGACGCGGATGCGACGGGACTCCTCGCGTAATTGCCTCCTCGGCGCCGAGGCTCCGTAGACGACGTCGTTGAGCCTCACCTCAGGGCGCCGTCCAGCTGTAACGTCGTCGCGTCATCGAGCACGTCATTCCTCCGTACGGGGAACTGCGGGCAACGGCACAGTGTTGGGATGGCGAACGGGACGCTGGTTCACCTGGTGCGATCCTCCACGGGATTCGGAGCGAACGTAAGATCGAGATAAGCAGTGCGAAAACAATGGAAGATGATGGGTGACTGGGAACGAGCGGGGGAACCTGTGGTCGAGCGAAGCGCACAAAAAAAGCCAGTCCGAGCTGGTCCGACGATTCACCTGCCGCGACGCGGAGCCACCTGTTATTGCGCCCCCGCCTCCTGGTGTGCGCCCGCCGGTGTCGGCACGGCGTCGCGTGCAAACACACGCAGACACGCACGGCTGCTGGACCAGACGCGCGCGGCGTGACGGCGTGACACAGGTGGACTCGTGGACGTGCATAAGCGGCTCACGCCCGCGCCGCTCCGCGTCGCATCCTTCAACTGCCATCAACCCTTCCTCCTAGCAAAAATTACCTGTCAAAGTATAGTGGTGCTTATTAAACATCAACTGACAATAATATAATAGCATGTTGTAATTTCCTCAATGTAACAATATAATCGTTACATAAAAATGTATCATATATTTTACGTTGTTGACTGGGAAATTACAATATTGATGTTCCAACTAACATTAAATATTCATAAAAAATCCGATTTGTATTCCTAATTGTGCCACATACTCCGGAACAATAAATGAATTATCGTCACAGAATGTGTAAATGTCGATGAAATGTTTAGAATGTTGCCTATATATATATATATATATATATCACGAACATCCTATATATCACTTGAATACTCCTTGTATATATTACGAAAATCACTTGTTTGGATCCATTGTCCATACGACATCGATTGTTGCTTATTGCACGGGAAGCGTGACTCGGTGACAATTAATCTGTTTGCGTGTAATTAAACAATTGTATGCGAATCTGATCGGAATTAATTTTGTCAGTTACCACATGGACGCTATGAATGACATATTTTCGGCAAAATTGCCAAATTTTTCGGAGCAATGGTCGAATTCAAGCCGGCTAGTCATGCTTGCAGAGTGAATGAGCATGATTGGTTCTTACCTATGTATCCAACTAATCATATTTAATTACTCAACGAACAAACCTAGCCGCTTTGTCGACTTGAACGCTCCCACTTCTTCTTTCAAAATACTTGCAGAAAATATTTTCTGTCGGTTAAGTTGGCGCTACAAAATTCAAAAATTTAATGTTATTTACTATTATCGGTGATCATTATCCCTTATTTTATTCAATAAAATAAAATAATTGTAAACTTCCAATTAAGCAACCGAATCTGGAAAATCGTATTTCAAAATAATTATGTTATAATTCAAAAGTGCGCGCGCATTTATTTAAATTTGGAACCCATTGGAACCGGCTTAGCTGGGCTTAGCGAAGCATACTTGTGTTTGCAACATATTAATTATAAGCAAATGTTTGCATCATATTACTTACGAACTAAATAATGAATAAAATAATTGCAGGATGATTAGAAATAATATACGAAGACTGAATCTCCTTGTCAGGTATGTTTCTTAATATTCAATTAAAATTTGACATCTCTAACCTGCAATCTTGTTGCAATATAACCTAACTTCTTCCAGAAAATATCAATATTGTTGTTCTTTACCGAGAGTGGCACCGAAATGCCCAACGTGGTTTGTTAAGCGATCTGTTTCGAATGTCAGTGTGAGATTTATCAAGAATATCAGTCGGGGATGGCGACTTGTCGTCCCAACTGGAGTAGGCTTCTCACTACTAGCAGTAACACAGTGGAATTATTTACATCAGTATGGATATCGGATTGATATAGATGATGGGCCAGAATTGCTGAATGATGTTATGGTAATGGAGAACCGTTTATATGTTAAGTTATGTTAAATGTAAAATTAATATAGATATAAAGTTTTCTCACTGTAGGTAACTTGCTATTGTTGCTTGCCATTGAGGACAACTAGTAGAATATGGGGCTGGCTGACGAGCATCGAATTGCCAGTTAGTCTTAGACCAACGTTGTATGGATTTTATGCGAATATTTTTCACGCCGATCTGGACGAAGTAGAGCTGGATTTATCTGCGTTTCCAAACCTGGTGGAATTTTTTGTTAGAAAACTCAAGCATAATGCTAGACCAATTGCTCAAAATGCAATGGTAAACATTGATTATAGGTTTTTATTTAGAAATATAATCTAAACTTACATGGTTCATCTTTCTTCCTTTTCTCTTCTTCACTCTCTGAAGAAAGAAGAGAAAAGAACTATGCAAGAAATTCAGCTACAAAGAACAAACCTTTTATCTTAATTCAAACTTATAGTATTAAAAGATCTTTTTAGTTTTTAATTTCTTGCACAAGCTTATCTCTCTTTTTCTTTTCATGTTGGAGAAAAAAAAAGTGCAGCTAAAAAGAACAGATCTAATATGAATATCTGGCAATTTCTCAGATTTCACCTGCAGATGGTAAGGTGCTTTATTTTGGACCAGTGACTTCTTGCCGCGTGGAACAAGTGAAAGGAGTAACATACGATCTTAGACAATTTTTGGGTGATCATTTCAACGATTTCACATTAAATGAAATCGCGAAAAAGACGACACAGGACGATTATGTAAAGTCACTTTTGAAGAATCCAGACAATAGATTGTATCAACTGATCGTTTACTTGGCACCTGGCGATTATCATCGGTTCCATAGTTCTACCGATATGACCATAAAATTTCGACGGCACTTTCCAGGTATACCTTGTCTCTTTGAAGTTTTAAGATTACAATGTGCTCTTTGCTTCTTGTTTCTTGCTTTTCATCACTTTTTATTTCTTGTCGTTTTTTTTCTCTTTTTTGTTGATTTTGGAAGAGACAAGAAACATTATCGATAAGATGACTGTGAAAAGTGAAAAAGCAAGAAACAGAAAGCATAGTATATTATAAATTAGTCTGGCCATGTGCTAATATACTGCCAGTGAACTACTGAAAGTCTATAGTTCATATATTATATGTAGTTATGTATATTACATATAGATTTTCAGTATTAGCAGTGTATATTAAAACACGGCTCCTACATGAAGTGTTTCTTTTATTTTTTCTAAACAACCCATTTGTTGTTAGGAAAGCTACTGAGCGTTAATCCAAAGGTACTCAAATTTATGCCCAACTTGTTCTCGTTAAACGAACGCGTTGTGTATGTTGGAGAATGGGCAGGCGGCTTCATGGCTTATGCAGCGGTCGGAGCGACGAATGTGGGCTCCATACGAGTCTACTGCGACAAAGAATTGGCAACTAATACGGTGCACTGGCCAGAAAGCGCGCATTGGAAGGAAGCGAGTTTAGATAACGCGCATATTACCAAAGGTGAACTGTTTGGCGAATTCAGACTCGGATCCACGATCGTGCTTCTGTTCGAGGCACCGCGAGACTTTCAATTCTCCTTGCAAATCGGTCAAACCATTAAAGTCGGTCAGGCATTAAATACATTTTCTAATAAAAAGTCTGACAAAAAACAGCTCGGACGACAGCACCTAATTATGAACGTCGCACAGAATTGGAGAGATATATGGAAACCTAGAATATAAAATAAAGCAAATAAAATTAGGAACTAATTTTATTGGAAAATTAAAGAAGATGTGTCAGCATCTTATACGCTCGTATTTTTTTATGCGAAATTGAATTATAGGCGCAATAAAAAAAAACACTAGAGTTACGAGAGTTCTAGAGACTCAGTTTTCTCGAGTAAGTATCGATCCTGTGATTTTTGTACGTAATCGTGTTCGTGCGTGAGAAAATCATCTCATGCGACTTATCTGAAATTACATGTTAATACATCTCCCGCTAATTATACTCGTTCGTTACTTTAATTGCGTAATATCAAGCATCACGCAAAAAAAAAAAAACAATGGTTTATAATAGATTTGACATAGTTGATTTATTGTTATGGCCGGGTAGTACTGTGCAACGCGTCTCTCCTGTGAGGCTTTACACGATCACGATTGAGAAACCAACGGAACTTCTTAATGCGAGAAAACATACTTTTCTTTCTTCGTGCGTCACCACTGATAGAGGTCGGATCGTAAACTGTTTTAGTTGCATGTCAAATCGATCTTTGTTTGCAGTTAAGTTAGCTGGTCAAGGCCGCTAGATGAAACACTTTCCTCAATTAAGGCTCTAACTCCTTTTTGTTAAAGAAAGTAACAGCCACGTCGTATATCGCAAGTTTCTGCGCGTTACGAAGCACCGAGTTTTACTAACCACGTTATATTTTTATAGCAGTATTTTTACTAATCCTCTATCGTTAATATTAATGTTGCTTCTGAAAAATCTGAATTAAATCGGAATATCTTTTATCCCAACTTGTATCCAGCGCGCGCGAACATGACTTCGCACTAGACCAGATTAACTATAATATGAATATTTAATCGCGCGAATATATTTTATAATATATTTTATAATATCTTTTATGCAAAGTATAAATAAAAAGATTACATAGATACCATAGTTTTTTCTAGATATATAATTACTTTATCCAGATGGTTCAATTACTACTCACATCCTGCACATTTTATTATTTTATTATTTTATTGTAAATTAAATTCTCAATATTGAGATCATTCGATCATAACGTTTTAATATTTATACTATATATTCTGATTAATATTCTGCTAATAACTTTTTCTAAATTTAGAAAATCGTGAGCTTTCTTTGTCTAATTATGCACCACATAAGCAGCAACCATAAAAGCATATGACTTTGATATGTACTTATATACATACTTAATCTCATATATGTATAGTATATTCTCTAAAGTAAACATAAGCTATATAATCGATGAATCGTTAAATCGATTAACCGGAAAATCTAAAATGACAGGCATTAAGAGAGGCAAATCAAATTGCTCATTCATATATTAAATTATTGACACCTGTGAGCTTAAAAGAAATTCATTATACATTAATTCGTGCATGCGGTTACGAATTCTAGCACGCTAATTTAAATTTATCGCCTTCGCAAAACTTCTCTTGTATCAATTTAGGTCTAACTTTCTTGTAAATTTTGGGAGAGAGACAGTTTAAATTTATCTTGTTCGTTCACGTGAAAATTGTCTAAACGTAAATACATCATCCTGCGCATAGAATATCTCTATGTCTTCTTGAACAAAGCAGCATGCATGTCGTTTGTCATTGCCAGAAGCTTAACGTTGGCCGATCTCCCAAGGAAGATACACACGAGAAAAAGAAGGAAAGCCGCCGAGCCGGCCGGCGTCGTAAACGTCAAACCGACGTTTGGCGGATCAGTGAGCGTCGCGACGCCCGCGGCGCAGGTTGCACTGCCTCCTCTTCTTGCGGCTCGCCGATAGTACATACCGGTGCGTCGGATAGGACGTCGTCGTGCGGCACCGCCGGTGACATTGCATGTCTGGTACATACGCGGCTGTTCGATATCTTCTCTGGAACACCAATTCACCAAGACTTAGAAATAACTATTATGGGATGTTTGAATGGCGGCTAAATGGGGGCCGATGGACATTTTCGCGTGACCTTGTCCCTCAAAAAGGAACCAGGTGCCGGTCCAGTCTTCTGCAAGATGGAGACGTCCGCCAGATTCCGGCAGCTGAAGACGGTGAAGCTGAGCTGCGACACGACCTACCGACTCGATATTAGCTTCAAGCCGCCGCAACTGCTGCAGTGGGTACAGTAAATGTGCAGTTATACATTACGTCGGGCACCTCTTCCTTTCCTCTCGTACTTGAATCGGATGTCAGGTTTTCTTTCTGTAGGAAGACAGTGGGACCTCGCATTGCGTGATCTCGATGATCGATGATTTGCCGACAAGTATTATTTAGTTTTACTTGAGAAAAGTAAACGTGTGTCAAACCACGAATATATTTAGACGTATCGTTTCAGTTATAACTTGATAGATTGTTTCAATCTTCGTTACATAATGACAATTTAACTCTATTGACCAAACTTTATTATATTTAGAATCTGCAGTCCACGTATATCTAGAACAATTCTTAGTTGAACCTGAATATAATTTATGGTCCGTTGTAATATTGTAACTCTGAATTATTTCATCTTATTTGGAGTATATCAAATAAACATTATGGAGCGTTAAGGGGGTTATAAACTACTGCGAAAAAGTCCCATTCGACTAATAGTAGTTTATTAGAAATTTATATGATCATTTTCAGCGCGAAGGTGGGATAGGAGCCGGCGATAAATTTCAACGTCTGAGCTTCTATGCTCCAGGGACGAGGATTACGGTTTCTCTATATGTTCAGATATAGAATCGCTAATAATGCCAACTTAGCCATAATACTAAAAATAATCTCGCCTGCCGAATAACGTTTACTTTCGTGAGTATCTAACGAATAGAAGAATAACCAATCTATATTAAATATTTCGCCTTATTGCGAGTAAAGTTGTGTCGACGACTCGCTTTGCAAGAATTTTCTTCAGCGTGTTGAAATAGAATCTCTAGGTCGTTAGACACTTTTATCATTAATTTTACGATAAAACTTAATTACATTTTTATGCTATCCAGTTATTCTAAAAATAAAACTGAATAATATTAAAGTTTCTATTCATTCACCATTATCATCTTAAATCGTGACGTAAGAAGCGAAAAAACACATTTATGCAAATTGTATTTAAATAGGAATATTTTTATATCTTAATATAAAAAAATATTTTGTAATAAGATAATATTTACAATTATGACATTTTGCCATAGCCATGAAATAATTTATTTCGTTTTTTATTATGCATAATTTTAACATATATGTAGTTATTTATTAACGAAACAAAAGGAGAATTTTCAGTTTTATTATATGTATTTTATAAAAATGGTTTTATCGATTGTTTTATTAAAAGCACTGTTTTATTAAAACATTTCCGTATTAATATAATTTGCAAAAACCTTTATTGTGTATTTTCTCGTTTCTGGTTCACAATCTGAAATAGTAATAGTGAGAAAATTAAAAAATTAAAATATTGAAATATTTTATTTAAATAAAAGATTAGAATTTTTCGACAAATAAATAAATCAGAATCGATAAGATTTACGAGATTTCGATAGATTATCGTAGATTAATGCAAAAGTTTAATATTACGTAAAAACCTTGTCTATTTTATTTTATTTATATTGTATTGGCATCGTGAAATTTTTCTGTACAAATTAAGAAATTTAATATTCGCGGAACAAACGAGGTCGCGCTTAAACTCGCAAAACACACCGACATTAAAGATTAAACTCAGGTCGAAGCAAGTTTGCGGACTTAAAGTCAAACAAGCACATATGAACGACGACAATCGTGCAGTCAGCCGTTTAAATCGACTCGAGCGGATTTGCGCAAGGCAATTAGGTATTGGAGCACATCGAAAGGCATTACGTTCCTTCCTCGTTGCTTTTATATTATACAATAGAACGAGTCGAAAACATTACATGCATATGCGTGATCCCGTCGCGAGATAACTATGCCTGCGCGCAGTTTCTAAACGATCACGAGCGAGTGCATAATTCTGGAATCGGCGGAGAGGGTGGGTTTTAAACGTATGCGAGCACACCAGCTGCAATGACACCGACTGCCCCGACCTAGGCGGGCGCGAGAAAGACGGGCGTGTTATCGCCTTGAACTGTAAAACTCGTCCCCCAGTCTCGGGGAATCGATCGCGATTTTGTACTCGTGCAGCTCACGTGCTGCTTATAATTGGTTGATCGATGGACACAACCCTAGCCCCGCTGATGAGGGATGCAACGTGGACGATCAACTTGTCGTACACGACAACCGGGACCGTCTTATCGCGGAAGCGCTGAAACATGATGAATGTATCATTTCTATATACCACCGCGATCTTGTGCGCCACGTAATGAATGTGTGTCATGAATTCAATCCACCGGGCTCAGGCCCTTGAGATATTGCCCGTATATACTATTGCGATTATCTCCCGGTAAGAGGGAATCCCTGATAAATATCGGATGGAGAACGATCGCATCGTAATTGTGGCAATAAATCGCAATTACATTCACCGTAGAAGATACGCGACCGTATAAGTACAGTGTAGTATATCGAGATGATCTGTAAGATGAGAAATATCAGTTGTTGCCGGCGGGAAAATTGAGACGCTGAGTTTGCCGGAATTAAAATTAAATTATCGTTCATCTAATAATCTTTATGATATTCGATACAAAAGACTTAAGACCGGAAGAAGTAGAGATAATAATGTAGAAACAAAATCGATACGATGATTAAAAAGGGTATAAGGAATTCAGTGCGATAACTTCCATTCGATAATTGAGTCGCTCTAAAGCTGCAAGTGGTAGATGTTGTTAATAATTAAACCTGTTACTTTTCTCTTTTTAGCTGTCAATGCAACATTCCGCGAATGATTTACGGCGAACGGGCGCGATTTGCACGTGATTTGCACACGTTCAACTCGAAATCGAATATGGAGATTACGCGTACAAACGCGATGTGCATAAATATTTCAGCTACTTCCCGGCATAATCACGAACTCGGAAGTGTCCGCGTGATCTTTGAGAAGTCACGAAAGGGGCGTTCTCGCGTGCCCGCGGCACGGCAGAAATGGAGCAGTTTCCCTTTGTTATTTTTCGGACAATGGAAAATCTCCTTTACTTCTATGCGATGGGAGGAAAATCCGGCTTTCCCCATCCGTCGCTATCGCCAAAATCTCGTGGAATTTTAAACAACCGCGCGGATCATTAGTTTGAATCACGCGATGCACTCTTGCAGCATGGCCTGCTTTTCGATTTTAGTCGTGACGAACGATACGACAATTCATTCCCCAGCGCGAGAACGGGGAGGTACACTTCATATATGTGTCCCTTCTGAAAACAGATTAACGATTAATTCGTTTCAATGGTGTACAACACGTCATCTGTTACATTCGATTAATTATTGCGAACGTCTTGTGATCGTTATTACCTCGTCGCGCGGGGGAGCTTATATACAAAATCGAGCGATTAAAAGTTTTGTAATGAGCGTCGCAAAGTTTGCCGTCCTTGTTTTCCCGCAGTAATATAATTCCTTATGGATGGAAGTAAGGCAGGAGGACATGAAATGTGGACACATTGACAAGCTTATGATGTTACGAGCTGACGGGTATTGCATTTTTTACGAATGATAATGCTATATCGACCGTAAGCGCGCCTTTAGATACCAGTCCACGGCTGCAATTCCGTTTCGGCTCATCTCTTATTTTAGATGCAGCTCTTGGGATATGCATTTTTAATCTTTAAAGCTGGTGATGCATTCCGTAAGACACATCTATGTCTGTTTAGATCTTATTCGCGCGAGATCTTATTTTGAAAACTTGTGAAATTTTTCCAACTCGTATAAATCATGTTTTCAAGTCTCCTTAATTATTATCATAATACTTTTATGAAATGCAATATAAAAT